TGACCCGATTTCTTGCAATGATCGCAAGTTACGGACCGACGTTCTCGGGTAAGGGCAAGACTCGACAAAGTAGGAGCCTTGCGATAGTGAGCAAGCTCACTTGAACCCGGAAAAAGGTGATGACCTCCTTCTTCACGTTTAATCATCATGCATACCTCATCGTATTTCGGAAGACGTTCTTGTCGGAGAATATGGTAGATGAGATTGGTGTAGGTTCCATCGAGGGTAAGGAGAATTGAGAACACCTTATCTTCTTCCAACCGTTGTTTAAACGCCTTGATATCCATCGTAGGAGGGCGTAGCTCTTCCATCTCAGTCCATAGGGCACTAAACTCCCCATGAATGATATTGAATGGCTTTCCATTCTTCTGTAAAGCAAACATCCGTTTTTTGAGTTCAAAAATACGACAAAGATTGGTTTCATTACCATAAACACTTTGGAGCGCATCCCATAGTTCCTTGGCAGTTTCCGGAGCGATAAACGACTTGAGAATATTTGAATCCAAGGAACTTTGCAGGACCGCAAGTGCAAGGTTATCCTCTTGCACCCATTTGGTCTTCTCGGCACGAGTTTGGCCGGCAGGAGGAGGTGCCGGTGCGGGCGCCCGAATCTCGGCCTCTGTTTGGCCGGCAACATTCTCTGCAGCAACTGGAACGATGTCGTCGGCTTGAGTTTGGGTAATGTGTTCCCAAAGGCCACGACTCTTAAGTACTGCTTTTGCCGCTTTAGACCAATAGAAATAGTTGTCTCCTGTTAGGATTACAGGGATGACTTTGGCGGAAAGGGTTTCCATTGGTGATGATTGATTGAAACTGAAACAGACAGAAGAACAGAAAAAGAAAGAAAAAACAACCGATATCACCAGCCTAGAGGCTCTGATACCATGTCCCAAAGGCCACGACTCTTAAGTACTGCTTTTGCCGCTTTAGACCAATAGAAATAGTTGTCTCCTGTTAGGATTACAGGGATGACTTTGGCGGAAAGGGTTTCCATTGGTGATGATTGATTGAAACTGAAACAGACAGAAGAACAGAAAAAGAAAGAAAAAACAACCGATATCACCAGCCTAGAGGCTCTGATACCATGAAAACACTTATGTTTAGATCGAAGAAGACACAGGAACTTGAGAAAGGAATGCTCTGTATATTATTCATTTACATCGAGAGTTACATATATATTGAGAAAGTCAAATACAAGAGAAATGGAAATAAAATAAACACAGGACAAATATAAGGTAAATGTATATTTAAGTGGAACTAATTTATGGAGATTCGACGTCAATTACCAAACGGCTAATTGTGTAGAATATCTTCTGTTGATATGTTTCCTTGGGTTCTCTTGCCTTTGTTGGTAGTTGCTTGCTCCTCAAGTAAGTCATTTTGCTGGGTTTCCTCACACGCACGTGCAGTTTCCTCTTCGTCTTGACCATATGCTTCAAGTGTTGGCTCAATTCCAACATTGACGAGGTCTTTGAACTGGGGCATGTCCGTAGGAGCTCGTCGTATGTACCATGCCGTATGATTTCTCCGCCTGACATCAACTGAAAAAAAATTACAATTTAGGTAAATCCGAATTTTAATCGAAAACCCCATTTCAATGTTTTTACACTAACCATGATGGAATCAAAATCCGGAAGAAAATCAACTTGGTGGGTCACGAGCAAGACAGTCTTCTCCGATAGAGCTTCCATCACATATTCCTGCAGAAAATTTCATAAACAGATCACAAAATTCTCATAAATTATACACACGCGCACTCATATGTGTGTATATATAATCGCTCTAACATTGAAGAGAGCGGTGGCAGTGTGAGCATCAACGACGCTAAAAGGGTCGTCAAGAAGATAAAGGTCCGCGTTTTGGTACAAAGCTCGAGCCAACTGAACTCTCTGTTTCTGGCCGCCGCTCAAGTTAACGCCTTTTTCCCCGATTCCAGTCTGATCGCCAAACGCTAGCATTTCCAGATCCTTAACCAGACAGCTCTTCTCCACAACCTCCCTGTACTTGTCCTGCTCCATGGGAGAACCGAACATTATGTTTTCACGTACTGTTCCCGTCTGAATCCACGCTGTCTGCGATACAAACGCTATTTTACCCTTAATGTTCACTGAGCCGCTGATTTCAGGGGCTTCTCCAAGAACAGTGGCCAAAAGGGTAGATTTCCCCGCACCGATTTCTCCACAGATCGCGATCTTTTCTCCGTGTTTGATTTTTAAATGTATGTTCCTCAATGTGGGTTTGCTCGATTCCCACGATATCTCTTTGCAATTGATGATTATAGAGCAATTCTTCTCAGCCTCTCTTTTGTCGTGGTTGTTCCTGAAATGCTCGTTCCTGAGCTCTGGTGCATCGAGAAACCGTTCTACACGAGACAGCGAACTTTCGCCTCTACAAAGATTCCGACAATCTCTGGGAGAAGCCTCACCGGATGTTGGAGGAGACTTAAAACGGCTAGAAACGTGAAAACGTTGGCAGGATACAGAGGAACACCGAGGATGTAACATGTCCAGAATGTGATTGTGGTAACCAAGATCGGAGAAGACCAGAACACGATGATGTTGACACCACAGAGGGAGAGAATCCCGAGGGCGGAACCGAACTCTTGCCTCCTCAGTGTCTCGATAACGTTCTTGAAATGTCTCTCCCAAGCATGGAGTTTCAGTATCTTTATGTTGGCGAGAGCCTCAGAGATCGCCATTAGTCTCTTGTCCCGTGCTTCTGCATATGCTATCTGGAACTTCAGCAATTGTCTCACGACGGGAGAGCTCACAAGAACGCTGATCACGATCACGACCAGTGCTGCAAAAGTCGCCATTCCCATGGAATAGTACAGAATGGCGGAAGCAAGACAGATCTGAAGACTTGTTGTCCAAATCTGATGGAGCCAGTAGGGGAGCTCCCCGATCCGATACACGTCGAGAGCGAAATAGTTTATGATCTGACCCAGGGAATGCGTCGATTTTGCCGCGTTTGACAAACGCAGCTGTTTCTGGTATATGGCTACAGAGAGCATAGACCTTACTTGCACCCCAAGAAACCGTGTTCTGAAGTACCATTGCCTCTCGGATAACGATTCGATGAACTTGGCGGCGAAAAGACCGAGCGTTAGAACATAACCCGCGTTCTCAAATCGCTGTTTCCTCTCTGCAACATCGATGAACGCTCTTAGAAACAGAGGTCCTGTGGATGCAGTCAAGACCTTTGTCAACGCGAACAGTCCAGAAACCAGAATCTCTCTCTTGTGACATTGCATGATCGTCGACAATAGATTCTGATTCTGATTCTGATTCGATAAAGCCTCGACGAACTTGGAATGACGAGTCTTGGCTAGATCCTCATCCCGAAGCTCTGGGATATCTCCGTCTTCTAAAATCTTCCTTTTTCCAGTCCTCAACAGAGGATTCAGCCACCAGAACGTCATTCTGCTGAAGAATCCAGCCTTCTGGAAACGCGTTTTCGCGCTGTCGCGGTTGCTTTCTCTCTCAGGCAATGCCGAGTAGAGATCCATGCCGTCGATCTCTTCTCGATCTTCGTCATTGTCGCCGGAATATCCTCTGAACGCGACGAAAATCAATAAACCGGACCCGAAAAGCGAGAGAGTGCACAAGATGAGACCGGACGAGATCACTCTTCTCTTCCCCAGAAGAGCGAGTTCTTGAAACGCGAGCGAGCAGAAGAGAAGAACGGAGGAGAGTTTCAGAGAGGTGCGATACCGAACGCTGAAACCGCGTCTGCAGAGCGTCAGCGACAGGAGCAGCAGTGACAGTCCCTGGGAGAGCATGACGAGCCACACGTGTGGGGGCAAATCCGTCTTTTTCTCCTCGCCGGCGAGACCTTCATATATGATCCGGGAGCCCATGAAGAGGTACACCGTTCCGAGAGCGCCGTTCAGAGCCGCCGACGAGATCACAGTTTCCGGAAAAAAAACGCGGCGAATGCGACGGCGGAGATGGAGTTCTTCGAGAGCACGAACGGTGGAGAATCGCGAAGAGGAGAACAGAGAGGATTACGGAGTGGAGAGAGATTACGAGAACATGGTTGAGAAAAGAATCTGGATTGACTAAGGTGGAGAATCTGATCGAGAAGTGTCTGAATCCGGAGGTGTTGAAGAACACTGTAAATGCAGTTTCTTCCGACATTTTTGATTAAGAGTATACTCCTTTAGACATCTGAATAAAAGGCATTTGAAGAATGTACATTTTTTCATCAAACAATTTATGAAATTTAAATAGGTAAGTCATACATAGTATGATATCATATTATTGTTGGAACTACTTGTACGCCTTGTTTCTTGATTAAAGTGACAACGATGAAAATTAATTTCGTGAAAACGTTAAAACATTAAATCGTTTGCATAGGGAGAGAACTACAATGAAAATTAATTTCCTGTGAGAAACTAAAAGGCTTAGGGGGAAAAATAGAGTCGTTTCAAACAAATATACACATTATAGAAATTAAAAACATGGAAAAAAATATTTATTTTTGTATTTTTTTTCTGAAGGGCATTCTTCACGTTTTAATCAGGGAATTTTCTCTATCACAGAATCGTGAAAAAAAATATCAACTTCTTTTTAAGGGCATTCATTATTCACGTTTTAATCTATAAAGTTTATTTATTCACGTGGACGAAATATATAAATTTTGCACAAGGCTTGTCAGAAGCCGAAGCTTCGATAGACACGTGGTGATATAATGAAGTGACTTACATACCTCTCTGAAACTACGTGTTCTGCTATGTCCCTACGAAGCAGATGTGTGTGTGTATATATATATTGCCCAATGTTGAATCCAATTCTTTTAGAAAAAAAATATTCCCATCTTAGGTCTGTTGTCACGTTGTTGTTCAAGTAACGATGTTTTCTGTTCATGCATTATATATATATATATATATATAATGAGATAAATAACAGACATTTTATATTTATACATATGTGTGTGTGTGTGTGTGCAAGGAATAAAATAAATAAATAAAACTCAAAAATTAAGTGAGAAGGTAAAGAGAAATCTAAAAACAGCATCTTGTTTTATTTATTTTTAGGAGAAAGGAAGTTATCTCAAAACAACAACAGATGAAAATGAATCACAGAAAACATATGATAATGAACAATGACTTCCAATGATCCAGGGACATTACACGTCCAATTATTACTATTTTTAGAAATAAATGGACCATTACACACCTCTATGTATTTAGATTAAAATTGGCCTTGTTGAGGAGAAGAGTGTGCAGTGGTGCTTCAGGCACCAACTTTGCCAAAGAGCCACTTCCGGATCTGCATTGTTAATATTCATTCAACGGAATCCAATTTTATTCTGATTAAAAAAAATGTGAGAATAAGGGTGTGTTGATTAAAAGTTTAAGAGAACAAGAGGGTTTTCTCCTTGGAGATTTTTCATGTAATGGGAGCTTGTTGTTGTAATGGCCGTACAATGAAACAGCAAAGGGTGAGTAGTAGGGAGTTGTTTACCTCGGGAAGTTTCTTGCGGAATGCAACTTCCAGCCTCGCGTCAAGTGTATTCTCGCACACGATCTTCCCATCACGAGACGCCAGCACCACTCCCCCGGAACTGTATACGGCGATTCCATCTCGTCTGAAGAATGTTTTTATGTACTACTACTAGGCATTTACCAAGGTGGACATGCACTGATATGTTGTCTCTTTTAACTAAAAATCAAGCTTGTTCGGGTGAAATATAAATCACATGTGCTTGGTTGGAGAAGGCAAAGATTTACCAGTGAGGACCATGGTGATCATCGCCAGAAGGAGCAGGTGGGAGGAAGATGTCCTTGTCAACTAAGATCTCAGGAGCGTGAACCTTTGCTTTCTCAGCATATTCATCCCTTGCGTCATCCAACACTGACTCCACCATGTGAAGATCTTCCTCACGACAACGCAGCAATACCGAAGGTTCTTTCAGTCTAAGCAAACACTGCAATGCATAAGGTTGATCGGTCACAACTTGAGATCGATTGCCGGGAATATAATATCAGATGATGAGAAGCATAAAGGGACCAATACGCATATACATATAGCCGAGCATATTTTCCTTTGCAGCTAATTCAATAATCTTGCTCTAACAGTGTCTTGGCAGAAGAATCAGCTAATGCAGCACACGCGTAAAAAAGCAACTAACCTGAATGATGAGATCTTTCAAAAGCTTTTTATACTCATGGTGGTGATGACCAAAGAAGTTGTGATGGCTAGCTTTCAGAAGCTCCTTTGCCCCTTCCTCTTTCATGTGATTGACAATGTCGTCTTGGGCTTGTAGAACTTTGATCCTTGATGCATTCAGTTGCATGGAATACTCACTGAATAGAATTAACACACACACAAGTTCTTGAGAGATTGGATCGAAATCGGGGAGGTTTCGGAGGGCAAAACCCTCACACGCCTGAACAGCATAGTAGTAACAACATTTTGATAAGAAAGAGAAACCAGAGAAGAAGCTCACATCTTCTTTCGGACCTCCACTTGCTTCTCCTTCTTCTCATACTCCTGCCTGATCTTTTTCTTCTGTGCCTCAACCAGCTGCAACTTCTCGATGTTGAATTCCTGCAATAGAAAACATACCATATCCATAATTCGACCACGATTCGCGTCGCTTAGACAAACAAATTGAACTTCCAGATCAGAAATTTCCGAGGCCATGAACTATAAGCGACAGGAAACAAAATCGAACAATCGCTTCTCCGATTGAGATCAACACAATGGGACAAAGTTTTTTTTTATGGGCCAATCGAACAAAGTTACGCAGAGAGAGAGAGAGGAGAGAGAGAGAAAGAGAGACGAACTTCTTCGGCGGAGATAGAGATCTCGTTGGCTTTCTCTTCCGCTTCCTGGTTGATGAACCTCACCATCTGCTGAATCTGCTGCGAGACATCGGCGTCGTTCATCTTGGAGGGAAAATTTCAACCCAGAGAACAACGAAGGAGATGATAGATCGGCAAAGAAAAAACGCTATTCCTCCTCCGCTTCGAGATCCTGCACCGATGAGGATGATGATGAACCAACTGATTGTCCTATTCGGAAAGAACAGTTTTAAATGTGAGGGACAATGGCGGATCAATTATTATTTTATTTACGCGTTTGGTAGTTCGTATAATTATGGAATCTGAGGACAAAAGGGGAAAAGAAAAAAATTTGGGACGGAAGCCACTCTTTTTTATCAGAGCCTGGTTTCGATCCAGGGACCTGTGGGTTATGGGCCCACCACGCTTCCGCTGCGCCACTCTGATTTTGTTGAGAGTTTCAGATAAATTAGAAATAATAAAGGGTAGACCTTCCCACCTGGAAATTACATCCCGATTTGAAAGGCTAACTTGTCAAACAACAAACTCATGGAAATAGTTTCGACAGTTTCCAGATTCATCCACTTTGGAAACAAAATTACTTACCGGAAACATAGGCGCGAACGATTTCCCTGTTGATTTTGTGGCTGTAGCTATGTTTGTTGAAGATAGGTTGAAGGTAAAACCGTCTTCCGGAGAATTAGGCACAGAGGAAATGAAGTTTGTCGGATTCGGAGGAAGGAACTGTACATTTCATCTGATGATTTACTAAATGAACGCATCTGCCAAGGTTCAGGGGCAGGGTAGACCCAGAGGACGACATTCCAAATGTCGTGGTGAAGACATTGAAGAGGAGGTTGTCGTGGGACTACAAAGAGTTTTGAGCCGCAGATGGAACGGAACGATCAAGCATGACAGACGTGACTGAGCTGAAGGCTAACTATTGTTCCAAAGACAATAAGCCCCCTTCTTTAAGGCTGTCATGATCATGAACGCCTCCTTAGAGATGATCTGAGAATGATACAAGACATTTGATCCGAAATCTGATTGAAGTTGTAAATGAACATTGTTTGTAACTCATTGATTTGTATGAGATCCAAATCTCGGATTTTTCTTCGAAAGGCAAACGCAATGTCAGAAATTTCATCTAGAAATTCGATTGTGTAAAAAGCACAAAGAGAATGGAAAACGAAAATTCCGTTTCACATATGCATCAAGCTAATGATCCAGAGAGTGTATCAAACCCTAGAGAGGACATTTGAAAACGGGACATAACCCAGTGGAGCAAGGGCTAAAACATCACGAAGATTCGACGAATCTGAGACTACATACGTAAGGAGATGAAGCCAGACCGGAGAAGATCACGATCCGCCATATCTAGCGATGTAATTGGAGGATCAGACGGGGCTGAAGAGCTGGAAGAGATGAGGCTTAGGATCGGAGTTCATGCCGATGACGATGACGAGAGGGATAAATCCATAGTGAGTCGCGACCTTAGCTTTCTTCAATGTCCAGTTGGTCCACTCCTTCGCCACCTCAAACTTCGATTTCTCGTCCGAGGAAGAGGATGAAGACGATCCCTTGGATCCTTTTCCCTTTTGTTTGAGCTTCAATGAAACCCTCGACGCCATTGATTCTGATCTCGGAATCTCTGCGTCAGTCCCCTGCAAGTGTTCGTTTCTAGTTGCAGAGAGATTTTACGCTCGGAGCAAAAACCCTAAGCCTATTTCAAGTCGGCATGGAACTCTCTGGTGGCTTCAGAGGGTTCCTATGAAATTATGTTTTATATTTATTTACACATTCAAATTTAAGCAAAAATAGTTACAGAATATCAATTTTCATTGACTGTTATTGAATTTTTCTATTTGACTTTGTGCAGAAGTATTAATGAGATTTCCAATGATTCGTATAGAAATCTTATGATAAAATGCGACGACTAATATAACGTTTTGGAGAAACTTCAAAATCAAATGGCAAAACATTAATAGAGCAAATAATTTTATTCGTGTGTTTCATTATGACGACATATAAGCAAATGATGTGTTTCATTATGACGACATAATGGATAAAGATGAAAAAATATTTCTTAGATCTTTTATAATAATTAAGTCTATACTTTATTCACACAATAATTCAAATTGTTTATTATTATATCTTCATTTAGTTACAGCCCCCCCATTTTATACCACTAGGATGAAGTAAGTATATATAACTCAAATTAATATTAAAATTAATCCAAATTATTGGGATAAAGTAGGTAATGCATAATGTCTTGGGGAAATTTTTTTTACGCGTACAAATAATTTATCGAGCTTATAAAAGCCCAAAATTTAGCATTTCTCTTCGGGGAGCTTTCTCGTAGCATCAGATCGCGGCTAAGTTCGGAGGATCTCTGAGGTAACTACAATTCTTCGGGTAATTCACTTGATCGATGCTCAATATCTTCGATCCCTTTCCGTTGTTGTGAAAATTTTCCGATTCGAAGCCGTTTAAGCTGAATCAATATAGGGTTTACTCGGATTTTTCCTTTGCAGGGTTTGTTTGGGCGAAATGGCGTCGAAACGGATCTTGAAGGAGCTGAAGGATCTCCAGAAAGATCCTCCAACCTCGTGCAGCGCGGGTTAGCGCTAGTTCTTCTCTTTCATGTCTGATCCTTTGTGTTGGGTCTTTTTTTTCCCTTCTTTCCAGCTGATCTCTTGTTGTCTGCTGCTTCCGATGCCTAGTTCTGTTTATTCGTAATTGTCTGTTCATAGATGAGATCTTTTTAGCTATACTCTCAAGTATACTAGAGCTTGGATGGAATCTTTTTCGGCAGTGCAATCTTAGTTTAAATAAACTACTGTCTGGAGATCGCAAATGGAGCATTTGGTTTTGTCTGACGATCATAAAGTTGAGAAATGTTTTTGGGCTTTGGATGGTGAATACCCCTCCTTGAGCCGCGACCCTTTTTTTTAGCTTTCCCTTGTTTTTTTAACGTGTTCTTTTATGTTTTTAGGGTTGATCTGTTGATCTTACGAGCCTGATGCACCTTTTGCTCATAGGCTCATAGCAACATGTGAGATCAAGGAAAAGCATCGTTACTTGTTTCCCGGTCCCAATTTCCTAGTGATAGCTTATGAGATTTTATTATTTGGGTTGCAATTGTTTTCTGGTTTCGTATGTTTTCGCATTCAACTCCATATGGAATGGCTAAAGTTCGAAATTTTGTGTGATTGAATTGGTTTTGTTGGTTAAGTCCTTAGCTGTGTTACGTGGTTTGAGCCTCGAGGCTCGAACCATTCAGGATGCTCATGCATGCCTTTGCCACAGGAACCTTACCACTGCTGTGGTCTTGGGGAAGAGCATTATTTGTTTTCTCATATATGTTTTGCGCTTTGCATTATATGTCAGTTCACTCAAGAGGCTAACCTATGTTGTTTCCTTTGAACAAATATCGAGTGTTTTTTAGGGCCTGTTGCTGAAGACATGTTTCACTGGCAAGCTACAATTATGGGTCCTACTGATAGTCCGTATGCGGGTGGAGTGTTTCTCGTCACCATTCACTTTCCTCCGGACTATCCTTTCAAACCACCAAAGGTCCTGTTCTCGACTATCTAATAAACTCTCTCCCCTCATTCTTCTTTTTTGTCAACTTCCCCTTCCATCACAATAGAGCCATGATAACTATGAAGAGAAGTTTGTATATATATATCGTTTTGATGCAGGTTGCATTCAGGACAAAGGTCTTCCATCCGAACATCAATAGCAACGGAAGCATTTGCCTCGACATTTTGAAAGAGCAGTGGAGCCCGGCCCTCACCATTTCCAAGGTAATCCTCGTATTCTCAGCCCCTACCGATAGAAAATCGTATCGTAATCACATGCCGTTGTCATTACCCTTACCCTTGCACCCCTATGTCAATCATCAAGAACTGTGGTGGACAGTTGTGATTTATGCGGGCCATCCATTGGTAGGTATTGCTATCGATATGTTCATTGTTAACGGATCCGAACCCGGATGATCCACTGGTGCCGGAGATAGCGCACATGTACAAAACCGACAGAGCCAAGTACGAGGCCACAGCTCGAAGCTGGACCCAGAAGTACGCCATGGGCTAACACTTGCTTCTTACCTCGTTACTCTTTCAGAGTGAGATGAGATGGCTTCTTCTCCTATCAATCTATCTATCTATCTATGAAAAAAAAAGGACATAATCCACGAAACACAAATCAGATCTGATTCAAGGTCTGATGTCTGTTTTGGTTTCTTCTGTCAGCGTCTTGTGTTTTATAACATACGTCTCTGGACATGAACTTGTCCTTTTTCTGTCTGAAACTTAAGAAGAAAGCTGAAGCTTTAGTGTTGAAGTTGGGTTCAACAAAAGTGCCTTTCTCCTCTATGTTTGCCTCTTTTCTTTAACCTTTTTAGCTCATTCTTTCCATCAATGATTATGGTTATAGTTATCATGGGATGGTCATTTCAGTTTTCGGTTCCTTTATTTTGCTTCATTTTTTTTTCTAATTTTTAGATAACTATTTCTATTCATTTTTATATTAAATTTGCTTTGAATTCTATGTTAATGTTTTTTTTTCTTTAGAAAATCGATTTTTGATTATTTTATATTCATTTTTTAAAATTAGATATATTTGATTTTTTTTTTGAAAAAATAAATTATCAGATTTTTAGGTCGGTCGAACCCCTGAGTCGATCCGAAAGTTTGATTTTTTTTTCGAATCGAAAAACTTAAATTCGAAATTTGATATTTTTGAACGGGTTCGGATCGAGTTTGTACTGCGAATTTAAATTGACATCCTTTGATTGCTTCAATAGTATTTTTATTGATCACAGAAAAATTAATTAAAATATTACAAAAATCAAAACTAAAATTTAAAACTTAAAAACTAAAACTAAAACTAAAAATTCCAAATAAAAACTGTATATCTCGGTTTTAACATGAAAGCCCATCGGAGCAGTCTCTCTATCAAATGCACGGAACTCTTAGTGTTCCGAACCGGAAATTTTCGGTTAACCAATTTCAGTAAACCGAAAATAGATACAGACACGAACCATTGGCCATCGGCATGTAATTATTATACATGTCCCGTTTGAACTACCCAATTTAGGTGGCATGTTATAATGTTACCAATTAGAAGAAATTAGTCAAATAAAACACATTCAATGTATAATATTTATAATCTCAATATCGTGTGGGTTATATTATATATTATATGCTAAACGTGAAGACATTTCAACGACGATCCACCAATCCCTACCCGCGTGCATACATGCTTGCATGAATATATTGACACAACATTTTTTAACGGAGAAATGTATCATTTTAAATCCTTTTTTAGCCAAAAAATGGTATTTTTTTATAAATAAAATCTGTGTGTGTAAGGATTGATTCGATTTATGGATTTTTTTAATAAAATAACATAAAACATCGTGAGTCGTGACGGCACGCCTTCCACTAACATGCCATGTAACCAACAACATATATTATATTATTTTATTTGATACAGTTTGAATCGTACGATTGTCCCTCCGTTGTATTGTTCATCGTCACGTTTCATTTAAGACCATGGATTAGTTAGCGCCAAAAGAAGGATCATGGGTTAGATCAAACGGATATAAATATATATATATATATTAGAAATGCATTTTTTTCCCATTTGATTTTTGAACATTCTAATTAAGATTGGAAATATTTCGTTGACTAATAAATTTTCCCACCATTGATCCACGAGTCAAACAAGTGCTTCTTGGGAAATAAAGAAATTATAGATCAACCAACTTAATTAAGAAACTTATTTTCGAGGAAAAGCATCAGAAGCTTTCTTTTCGGGGATTTTTTCAAAGGGAGGAAAAGAAATGAGATCTTGGTTTGCATAAACGACGCCGTTTAAGTCAAAAGACATTTGGAGACGACGTTGCCAGATTAGACGAAATGAGGTTAATTAATTAAAAATGAATATATGATTAATTATATTTCGATCAATTAAATTAATTTAATCAATTGTGACGAAACTCGCGGGAACACTTTATATATGGCTCCCAGAGTATGCGGACGCGTTTTCAACGGCCAAATCCTAACCAAAAAAGGGGGACAAAAGAAAAGTTCCAAGATTTTCCTGGAAAAATTTTTCTTCTCCGCAACCGTTACAGGTAGAGAGAGGGGAAGCGAAAATCTCTGAAAAAGTTTTCCGGGGAATTTTTCTAGGGCTTTGAGCGACCCAGGAAAAGAAAGGAAATAGGTTTCAGGGTTCCTCTTTTTTTTTGGGTTGCTTCGATTTTCTCTTTGGCAAGTGTTGATGATTCGAAGTTCCATTCATCTTTCCAGTAGTTTTTTGATTCCGTAAATCGGTGAAATCTTCTGATGATTTGAAGTTTTTTTGACAGGTGGGTTTTTCCCCCATTCTTTTGACCCGAGTTTCTGGTTTGAAACCCAACCATTTGAGATGAAATTTTCTTATGTTCAGGTTGGAGATTGTTCATGTTTGGTTTGATACGTTTGATTTACGGGTATGGGTCCGAATGTTCGAAGGGAATTCGTCGATCCTTAAAGAACGGGGATCTCTGTGTCAGGTTTGTTTGATTCTACACGTCGTTATCTTCTCTGCAATGTCTCATATTTCTCGACCTGATTTCTGTATGATGAAATCCATGAATCTGGTATTTTTTTTTTTCAGGGACTCTTTTGTTGCTTGATTAGGATCCGTAAATCTGATGTTTGTATGGGGTTGAATGTTTGAAAGTTCCCTGTCGGCTGATTTTGATGCTTGTTGTGTAATCCTGCAATGTTGCATAATGGTTTTTCTGCCTCATGTAATTGGTATTTGTCCTCTGATGATAAATTTTCGTATCTTGAATCTTTTTTTACAGCTGTCATAATCTGGAGTCTACTGTATTCTTTTGGCTCCAAGACATCTGAGGACTTTATCCCACTCTTTGATCCGTGTTTCGGGGTGTTTATCTCGAGTCCTTTGTACAATATTCTATATGGAACAGTTCAGACAAATCGGAGAGGTACTCGGGAGTCTGAATGCGCTTATGGTATTGCAAGACGACATCCTGATCAACCAAAGGCAGTGTTGTTTGCTGTTGGAGGTCTTCAGTTATGCTTTCAACACGGTCGCTGAAGAGATCAGACAGAACCTGAAGCTTGAAGAGAAGCACACCAAATGGAGAGCCCTTGAACAGCCATTGAGGGAGCTCTATCGGGTTTTCAAAGAAGGAGAGTTGTATGTTCGGTATTGTATGGACACCAAAGGTTGGTGGGCCAAAGTGATGAACCTTGCCCAGAACAAAGACTGTGTCGAGTTTCACATACACAACTTGCTTTGTTATTTCCCCGCAGTGATAGAAGCCATTGAGACAGCTGGGGAGATATCGGGCCTTGACCCTTCCGAGATGCAGAGAAGGAGAGTTGTCTTCTCTAGAAAGTATGACAAAGAGTGGAATGACCCTAAGCTTTTCCAATGGAGATTTGGAAAGCAGTATCTTGTGCCAAAGGAGATTTGCAGCCGGTTTGAACATTCATGGAGAGAAGATCGGTGGAATTTGGTGGAGGCATTACAAGAGAAGAGAAAGTCAGACAGCATGGATGTAAGCAATAACGAGGCCCGTCTAGCTGATTTGCTTCTGAAGAAATTAACCGGATTTGATCCATTCCATGGGAAGCTCTTCCCGAGTTCAGTACTGGTCGGGTCAAAGGATTACCAAGTGAGGCGGCGGTTTGGTCCAGGCGGCCAGTACAAGGAGATTCAATGGCTCGGAGACAGTTTTACCGTGAGACATTTTTTCGGGGATCTTGAATCATTAGGCTCAGAAATTTCCTCTCTGTTATTGCTTTGCCACCCGAATATACTTCAGTACCTCTGTGGATTCTATGATGAAGAAAGGAAAGAATGTTTTCTGGTCATGGAGTTGATGCACAAGGATTTGCTGAGCTACATGAAGGAAAACTGCGGGCCCAGAAGGAGATATCTATTCTCCATTCCTGTCGTGATTGATATCATGCTTCAAATTGCCCGGGGGATGGAGTATCTCCATTCGAACGATATCCTCCATGGAGATCTGAACCCTACCAACATTCTTTTGAAAGAGAGGAGTCACACTGAAGGTTATTTCCATGCCAAAATTTCTGGGTTTGGTTTATCTTCCGTCAAAGCGCGGCCTTTGGCAAGACCAAGCACACCAGATCCTGTAATTTGGTATGCACCCGAAGTTCTCACAGAGCTTGAGCAAGACCCAGATGGTATCCCGAAATCGAAGTTCACTCATAAAGCTGATGTGTATAGCTTTGCAATGGTGTGTTTTGAGCTCATAACGGGTAAAGTTCCGTTTGAGGATGGTCACCTTCAAGGTGACAAAATGACAAAGAACATTAGGATGGGAGAGAGGCCTCTCTTCCCCTTCCCTTCACCAAAGTATCTCGTGAGTCTAATAAAAAGATGTTGGCATTCGGACCCTAGTCAGCGTCCGACTTTCTCTTCCATATGCCGTATCCTACGCTACATCAAGAAGTTCCTAGTCGTGAACCCCGATCATGGGCACCCTCAAATGCAAAACCCACTTGTTGATTGCTGGGACTTGGAAGCAAGATTCTTAAGGAAGTTCCCGGTAGAGGGGCACGTAACACCGGTGAGCCAGATCCCGTTCCAGATTTTCGCTTACAGGATTGCGGAGAAAGAGAAGACGAGCTCAAGCTCTAAAGAAGGCAATTCAGAAACAAGTGAAACTTCTGAAAGCGTTTCGGTGGTAGAAGATCCGCCGGTACCATTAAGAGATACAAAGTCGGTGTGTTTAGATACAATATCCGAATACTCGGATACAAGATCAGTCTACTCGGAAGTTCCCACAAAGATGGTCTCTGCCCTTAGGAAAAGCGGTGACATTGGAAAACTGAGAAGAAGCCCGAGCACAGGTTAGTTAAAGAACTCAACTTTGATCTGTAACACACTGTCTTAAGCTGCTGATTGATGACCAAAAGGTTTAAAAAAACACCCTTTTTTGATCGGTTTATGGAATTCAGGATCGCCAAAGTTGAGATCGACTGGAACGTCGCCAATAAAAGGAAGAACATCACCGAAAGCATCGCCATTGAATCCATTCGGAAGAAGCAGCAGCAGCAACAGTAGCAGGAAAGATACTCGCTTGCCTTTGAGTCCAATGAGCCCGATGAGCCCAGGAAGAAGACTCAGACAACCTTACGGACATGCTTCTGACTCCGAGCTCACGTAGCCTTTCCATTGAATCCGGTCGGACCATTCTTTTCTTTTCTTTTTTGGGTAAGAAGCCAAAGCAGAAGCATAGTTTCAGACAACAACAACAACAAAACAAAAAAAGAAAAGAAAGAAGAGAAGAGGTAGGGATACTTAGTTCCACAAGACCCCATTTTGTGTCATCTTTTGCTTTCTTCTTCTTCTTCTCTTGTGTCATGCGTCTGTAAATTGTCACTCTTTAGAATCTTTTTTCGGAATTTGGCTATCAAAGTTTGTTTTTTTTGGTAGCTTTTGCAAGTTTTTTTGGGTAACTCTGAAGAGTTCTGTTTTGTTTATTTTTCAGTCGGAAAAATTTGTCGATGGGGAGAAATGAATTACAGATTGTCTCTCGATATATTAGAAAAGAAATCGGATTCTGATTGAATCAAATCACGTAACAACAATGTGCTGAGATTCTGTCTAAAAACCGAAACTTGGTCACTTTTTCCAACCCCCGAGGAGTCGATGAACAATGAATACCCGAAGCTGGTGAGTTACGAAGGGAAGCTGGGAGTAGTGCGTGGAGTATGGCGAACAACCGTTGTGGGTTTGGAAGAACGTTTCGGAAACTGTGTGGGTGAAAGTGAAGATATTGAAGAATATAGCGACTGCGAGTGAAATTGTGCAAAAGAGGGCTCCACTATATTACCATACTTATATCATGTACGGCCTGATACATTCCCGTTTTATTCCGAGTATCAGAGAATTAATCTGATGGGTCCTAACGAAGAGATCGGGTGGGTAGATGCGTGGGCCGCCGTAAAACATCAACCCATACGAGAAAAAATCGCCAAAAAAACCTTGTAATATGTCAAAGAAAAATCCCATATTTTTTTGCTTACCAATTAAACGCTATTTGATGTGATTAATCCATAAAATCCCGAATTTTTTTAAAAATTTACCGAAAACTTCCCGCATCGACCAACTCAAACAAAAAATGATGATGTGGCAATCCAAATCATGCACACATCATTGTAATTATGTCACACCATTATTTCAAACAAAATTTAAATTAAATAATTTATTTAAATTAATATATATATACATAAATTCATATATATATATATATATATATAAAAAAAAAAAAGTAATTATAATTAATAAAACACATATACATATAACTACAACATATATGTATATTATAACTAATACATATACATATATTAAAATAAGGGGTAATCGCCAAAAAAAACCTTGTACTTTTTCCAGGTCAACGAAAAAACTCTATACTTTTTTATTACCAATTAAACCATGTACTTGGTGTGATTAATTCATAAAATCCCGTATTTTTTAATAATTCACCGAAAATCTCCCGCGAATGCCAACTTAAGTATGTATATTATAACTAATACATATACATATATTAAAATAAGGGGTAATCGCCAAAAAAAACCTTGTACTTTTTCCAGGTCAACGAAAAAACTCTATACTTTTTTATTACCAATTAAACCATGTACTTGGTGTGATTAATTCATAAAATCCCGTATTTTTTAATAATTCACCGAAAATCTCCCGCGAATGCCAACTTAAGCAAAAATGATGATGTGGCAATGATATGACATGAACACATCATCATAATTATGCCACATCACCATTTCAAACAAAATTTAAATTAAATTATTTATTTAAATTAATATATATACATACAAATTCTCATATACATATATATATATATATATATATATTAAAAATAAAATTATTTGTAATTAATAAAACATATATACACATAACTACATATATATGTATATTATAACTAATGTATATATATATTAAAATAAAAATAATTATAATTAATTTTATATATATACATAATATATATTAAAATACAAATAATTATAACTTACATATATACATATAATATATATTAAAAATAATATGTATATGTATCTATATTAGTTATACAACATATACATATATTACTAATATACATATTAAAATAAAAATAATTATAATTAACATATATATAAAATATCTATTAAAAATAATATATATATATATGCATATATATTAGTTATACATACAATATATATATATACAACTAATATACATATTAAAATAAAAATAATTACAACTAATATATATATATATATATATACAATATATATTAAAAAATAATATGTATATATATTATTTATAATATAATTTATAATATATATATATATATATATATATTGTAAATATGCATATATTTTTTATTAGTTATAAGTAATTTTATATTTAATATATATATATATATATGTATGTATGTGTGAATTTGTATGTATATATAATAATTTAATTTAAATTTTGTTTGAAATGATGATGTGGCATAATTATGATGACGTGTTCATGTCATGTCATTGCCACATCATCATTTTTATTTGAGTTGGCATTCGCAGGAGATTTTCGATGAATTTTTAAAAAGTACGGGGTTTTATGGATTAATCACACCAAGTATATGATTTAATTGGTAATAAAAAAGTACAAGGTTTTTTCGTTGACCTGGAAAAAGTACATGGTTTTTTTGGTGATTACCCCTATTTTTAAAGAGTAATGTGTGAATTTGTATGTATATATATTAATTTAATTTAAATTTTGTTTGAAATGATGATGTGTCATAATTATGATGACGTGTTCATGTCATGTCATTGCCACATCATCATTTTTATTTGAGTTGGCATTCGCAGGAGATTTTCGATGAATTTTTAAAAAGTACGGGGTTTTATGGATTAATCACACCAAGTATATGATTTAATTGGTAATAAAAAAGTACAAGGTTTTTTTTGGCAATTATCCCTTAAAATAAAAATAATTATAATTAATTTTATATACATACATAATATATATATATATATAATTGTACATATAATATATTAAAAATAATATGTATATGTATATATATTAGTTATATATACAACATATATATACAACTAATATACATATTAAAATAAAAGTAATTATAATCAACATATATATATATATAATATCTGTTAAAAATAATATGTATATATATATATATATTAGTTATACATGTAACATATACATATATAACTAATATGCATGTCAAAATAAAAATAATTATAACTAATGTATATACAATATATATTAAAAAATGATATATATATATATATATATATTTATTGTAGATAAGTATATATGTGTTTTATTAGTTATAAGTAATTTTATATTTAATATATATGTGTATGTGTGAATTTGTATGTATATATTAATTTAAATAAATTATTTAATTTAAATTTTGTTTGAAATGATGATGTGATATAATTATGATGATGTGGCCATGACGTGGAAGTCATGTCATTGTTATATCATCATTTTTGTTTGAGTTGTCCGGCGAGTTTTTAAAAAATTCGGATTTTATAGGTTAATCATACCAAATATAGCATTTAATTGGTAATAAAATAAATAAATGATTTTTTCGTTGACATGGAAAGAGTACAAGATTTTTTTGGTCATTTTTTCCGATATAACAAAGAACTTTTCATATTAATGTTTGATTTGTTTTCTATTTTTCTTCCAAATTATGATTTTAAGTTTCTGTCAAAATTATTTTACTCTCGCTTGGATTTTGATTATGCATGTTATTTTGCATTCTTCAAGTTTAGATTATAATTCTATGAATAGAAATTTTGACCTTATTATTTTCAATTTTCCTTAATTTCTTTCCGAGAAGGCTCGAACTCTCTATAAAACCCCCCATCGAATTTATATTGGGTTAAAGATATATATATATATATATATATTATATATGCGTACGGATATCAGTTCTCTATTTAATAATATGAGTTCCTTCCTCGTTGGTCCTCTGATGGAATTACGAGGAAACATGTTCGAGAATTGCCAAGTCAAGTGGGCAGACAAATTTAAGCGCATCTAATTAAACATACGCGCGTACGGAGCGCGTGAGCATCACCGCCTAGAATTCTGCGGACCACATAGTCCAGAGATTTAGGCCATTTCCAGCAAAAATGGGAAATGTGGCGCGTGGAGAAGTTTTATTGTCTTAATTGCTTCCTTTTTTTTCCATATTTCGAATCGAAGTAATAAATATAATTAATTAGGTTTGCCTTTTATGTTCCGTTTTTCATATACTTCAAAAAAAATTGATATAATAAAAAAATTGTGCACATTATTGAAAAGAATGCTTTGATATTATTATAGCGATTGAATATATTTTTAATATGATAGTGTTAGAATTCTATCTTAATAATATAATGGATATATATATACACACACATACATATTAAACGGATCAAAACCCTTTATTATGAACCGAAATTGAGATAAATGCTAGCAGAGAATCCGAATCTTGACAGCAATTACCCTCAAAATTGGGAACAAATTCACAAATAGACAGCCACATTACCATGGAATTTATTCGACCCCTCCATCTTTTTAAATTTTATTGAAAGAATGAATTTTGAGGTATTTTTAAAAAAATAATAATATGTAGATAAGAATGCTACTTAATAAAGTAATTAAATAATAAATTGTTTCTATAATTTTAATTGTAATTTTGATATTCAAATTCAAACTTTTTTTAAACTATTTCGACTTAATAAATTTCAATATCTAAATCATATCAAATAAATTTTATAAACCCTATAAGCAATTTCGATGCTTTAACATTTTTCAATTAATCACGGTTCGGAATTATAATTCATTTATAGAGAATTTGATTGGGAACATACACAATTTTGCATAATTTCCTTTCGGGAAATGAGAACAAACTATTTTCCAAAATCGAACGAATACTTATTTGTGGCAGAAGATAGATAAAATAATTTATTTAAAAAAACCAAAGGCAAGACACCACCACCATTGGAATCTATTCAAGTTGGCAAACATCACGAGCGGGAATAATTTGAAGTGATTTGAGCTTCACTCACTATAAATGCATTTGAGCTTCAGTCACTCCAATACCATAACACAAATCACAAGGGAAAGCCTTCAGAAAAAAAAAGAGACCCTCTTGAAGTGATTTGCGTTTGTGTTATCACAATGGCGCAATGCTACGAATTCCGTGAGAAAGATTGCTACGAGGTGTCTCAAGGCCAAGGCTACGGCTATGGCTACGGCCATGACCAGAGCCACCACCACTTGGCTAAGAACCCGAGCCATGGCCCGTGCCAGACCCAGAACCACCAAAGCCATGGGATTCTAGATGGGCTCCTCAAGGGCCATGGCGGGCAATCCGCTCATTACGGCCATGAGACTGGCAAGGGATCATTCCACAGCAGCCATGAGGCACACAAGTCTCATGGCCTAGGGACGTTCGGTAGCAGCCATGAGACACACAAGGCTCATGGCCTCGGAACCTTCATGGGCGGCCACCAGAAGAGCCATGGAGAGAGCAAGGCTCACTGCCATGTGAAGGGTGAGAAGAAGCACAAGAAGCGATCTGAGCACAAGAAGAAGAGCAAGGATGGCCACTGCAGCAACAGTGACAGCAGCAGTGGAAGTGACAGCGACTGAACCGACTTCCCCCGTGACCAGAAGTGATGCTTCAAGGAGACAGTATAATCAATAACTATACTACTAAATAAAAGACACTTGCTTAGGTGGTCTTCTGTCCCTTGTAAGCTTACTTCTATGAATCTACCTATCTTCATCTTTATGGATCACTATATCCAAAGAATGTTAAGGCCTAAACGTCTACAACTGCAGCAGAACCTAGTAAGAATCGAGATTAAAAGACTAGAATTGCAGCAAGAATTGAAGAAAAGACTACATGACATCATGAGTCGAAACAATCTATCTATTTCATGAAAAGGCCAACCAAACACAGTTATAGTAGACACCACAAAACGAGGCCCAATAGTTAAAAAATAAGCAGCCAAGATACAAAATTGATTACCATTAATATTGCATCCCAAGTCTGGCGAAAGATGTCATCTGCGGGAGAGAGTTTTGGAAGCAACAGAGGCTATTGCTTGGAGAGCTAGATCTTCAGATTCCTCTTGGGTAAAGCCATTTGCTTCCAGGTGCTTCTTCCCAATCTTGAAGGAGTGATCACCGCCATCAATCACATGTAACTCTGTCATGGGTTTCATTTTCTTGCGCACAGTTTCAAGCTTATCTAGAGGACAGAGAGAATCTTTGCTGCCCTTTAATCCAGAATCATCAATAGCCAGAAGAAACAAGAAGGAAGATTCCATAAGAACGTTGACCAAAAAGGAAACAAGCAATATAAGCATAGTCCCTCACATATCGATCAACCAAATGATAGTGGAAACCAGACAATAGCAAAAAGATAAACTTGACTTGCTACATGGTGCCGAAAAGACTATTTAGTCTCGGATGCCATCATATGCAACCTAGAATGGGGTAAACTGTAATTAATGATGAAAAGAATACCTGCACAAACATTACAGGAACTTTCAGTTGAAGTAGAATCTCGTCCCTTACCGCACCCTTCATGCCCTGAAAAGAAATAAAACGATCGGGAGAAAATCTCTAGTACTGTCATTCAACACTGAAGCAAGAGCACTGCCATTCCAGACAAGCCAGAATCTTGAACCGGCTATTCTAAGCACAATGCACAAACCTTAAGTGGATATCCCAAGCATATTACAGCTGACACCGTAATTTCTTCGTTCACGGCTACCATGCAGCTTACTCTACAGGAGGGGAAGAAAACCGCAGAAAGGGATAGCATCAAACTCAACACTAATAGGCAAGCACAAAACAAAAGAGAAAAAAAAATGTTACTCCAATCCCTAAAAGATAAGTCCTGTGGAGATTGCAGGAACAGGAATAGAACACCGGTATCATCTCCGACGGAAAAGGGGGCACTAAATATGCAGAAATTGCCGAATTGTACCTTGAGCCCATGGATTTTCCAGCCAAGATCAAAGGATGGCCAGGGAATTTAGCAGCGGTTTCTTTGACCACATCCAAGTGAAAGTCGACCAATTTTTCAGCCTTTGGAGGAGCCCTCTTTTTGCCGCCAGAGAGGTCTACCAATGGCGTCACATTGCAATAATACATATCAAGACCCAGAAGGTTTACCATCACTTTAGCAACACAAACTTGATCCACATCCATGATTTTACCCAAATGATAAACTTATGATTACTAACAAGGGTAGTCGAAAGTGATAACTTCAACAGCTTGCAACGCCTTCTTAAGCATATGCTTCCATCTGCATCAAACCAAAAGACACTAAAAAGGTTCAAACAATCTGCGAATATAACAAAGTTCAGTCCAAAAAAATCACACGCAGAACAAACATCTATCTCCACAGAAACAAAATTGAGGCGATCAAGGAGCGGGAGCGAACTTGATCATCCAGTCGGAAGAAGAGGGAGCGCCGGCACCGTGAGCGAAGACGACCACCGGAGACGATGCCTTGTCGGATTCAACCGAACCAGTTCTGTTTCCGTCCTTTCGTCTTCTCTTCGAGCGACGTAAAGAATCCATCGGTGAGCTCCTGAAATCTGATTCCCACCCACTCCATGGAAATGAAGGGATGAAAGTTTTGGAAAGCCCTAAGGAAATGATTTTGGCGCCATACGGACATCGCGCTCTCGGGCTTCTCTCTGAATATATATAGAGAGGCCCATGAGAATGTGTTGGGCCTTATGCTTTTATGGACTGTTACATAGAAGCGAAGCGACATCTTCTTTCAAAGGACAAACGCTAATTTGTGGAGGTGATGCCAAAATTCAGGAAGATATTGAGAGGTTTTTAAATAAGAAATTAATATTACTAAATAATTAGTCAATGATGGATCTATTTTAATATATTTTTTAAGTAGAACGACGTCGTATATATGGCCAAACGGCAAACGCCCTGAGTCAACATCTCTCGTCTTTCTTTTTGTCATTAGAAAATGGACAAAGTCAAGATTTTTCTGCATCAATTGAACCCCCTGTTCTTGTTCACAAACCCTAAAGTGAACATCAGGGTTCATCTTGAGGAGCAGGGGTTATCCGATTGAGATGAATACAGATTCCGAAGAAGGAATACCCACCTCAAAATTTAGAAACTACGTTGTTTTTTGAGGTCAGTTCACGTATCGTTCCTCTTGCTGCGAAAACAATAATTTAGATCCTGATTTGAGAAGAATCGGGATCCTCCGGTGGATTTTTGAGCTGAATTGATCTTTAAGATGGAGAAAAGTTCCATTCTGTTCGTGGGTCTTGCTTTGATTTTTGTAGCTGTCAATTGTTCTTCCGCTGACACTGAGGTAAGTGACGAATGTAAAATTCCCCAGATTCAACTTTTTCGGTTGCTCGCATTGTAGAATCGATGTTTGTTTTGACTTCGATGAATCAATTAGGTGGATGAAAAGGCAAAAGTTATTTCAAGCTCGATCTCAGATTTGAATTCCACTGATACCAGACTTGGTGGGTCCGAATTGGTTACCAATGATACTACCAATGCCAAGAAAACAGATGATTCCGTTAATATGGAGGATAAGCAATGGCATTCGACGGGAAATGATGATATCAGGAAGGGAAAGGAGGAATTGGATGATGCATCATCAAAGGCAAACTATGGAGAGAAGCGGGCAAATGATGAAATGGGTAGTGAGGATATGAACACCTCATCAAGGAAGAAAGAGGGCTTTCATGGGGAAGAATGTGACCCATCTAATATGTGCACCAATGAGGAAGATCATTTCGTTGCTTGTTTGCGAGTTCCAGGAAATGGTGAGTTCGGTGGGGAGGCAGTGTTTTGATCTTTTTTCTTTCAGTTCAGTTTAGGGTTTTGTGTTTTTTTCGGGTCTGATAGTGGCTCTTATTTGTACAGATTCGCCTCGTCTCTCACTCTTGATCCAGAACAAAGGCAAAAGTCCCCTGCTTGTAACTATATCTGCTCCGGCTTTTGTCCGGTTGGAGAAGAGCAAAGTTCAGCTCCTGAAAAACGAAGACAAGAAGGTATATTTATACGGTATATGCGGAAACTTCATTCCTTATATATCTTGAAGATTTGTTAAATCTCTGTATTCGTTTCTCTTGGAGTACCTTTGACCTATGGAAAAAAAAAGTTCAAAGCCCTGTTTGCAGCTGTGTTTCCATATTGCATGGTTCTTGAAACTTGCTGCTTGAAAGTAGACGCATCTGATATGGATCTGCTATTCTATAGAATGATGGGTGAATCTACAAGACTAATAAAGCAAACAGTCACAGGAGGAGGAATTAAAAAAAATCATAGATTGAGATACACTTTGTCATATATATATATAGTCTTGTGGTTATGTGATGGGTTTCACAAGAAAAGATCGTTTCTTGCAGGTGAAGGTTTCTATCAAAGGCCAAGAATCCAGTGATAAAGCAATCGTTCTGACTGCTGGTAAAGGAAAATGCAGACTCGATTTGAAGGAATTATCTGCAGAGGATGCTGCTGGAAACGATGACTCGGTCACTGACACTGTTTCTCGCTTCTCGATCGCAAACTTCCGGTCACAAACCCTAATCGTCGTCATCTTCTTCATCGTCGTGTGTGGCCTCGTACTCGTCCCAGCGTTCATCCATTTCTACAGGAAGAAGAACAAGTGGATAGGGAACAAATACCAGAGGCTTGAGGAAGAGCTCCCAGTGTCTACTAGCAAAGGGTCGAAAGCCGACAAGGAAACAGACACAGAAACAGAAGGTGGGTGGAACAACGATTGGGGAGATGATTGGGACGATGGCGACGGTGATGGTGATGGTGACGGTGATGATGAAGAAGCTCCCAAAACGCCATTGATGCCTCTCACTCCCTCTGTTTCTTCCAGAGGGCTGGCCTCCAGAAAACTCTACAAGGAGGGCTGGAAAGATTAAAATTCTCCGACATTTATTATTTTGCCCCCTTTTTTATACTGTTTCTTCCATTTTTGCATTATTTCAAGATATCGGATAATTTAAAGTTACAAGGCAAATATATTTTGATGTGGCTGTCGGTTTGTTGTTCGTTTGTTGGTACTCTCTTTACTCTAGACGCCAAAAACAGTTAAAAAAAAATTCATTTTAAGTGCTAGAGTCTATAATAATATTAAATAAAAAAATCATAGTATTTATAGTAATGTAGGAGACGACACGGGAGAGGTAGGTGTCGTCTTCTTCCAAAACCAAACTCATACAAAATACATTAAACCGAAGTGAACCGGTCGGTTAGAGGAGGCACGTCACTTGGACCAAGCGACGGCATCGATCTCGGACTGAGCGGCCCTGTATAACTCCAGCCGTTTCGAGATTGCGCTGCGTCTCTCCATTACCGCCGGGTCTTCGTTCAACAACGCTGACAGTCTCTTCTTCTGTAGTAATAGTAATAATAATATTTCGCATACATTTTTTTTTATTCAGAAAAAAAGAGGCTTATTACTATTATAAATTGGAATTTATAGTGTAGAGAGCTTACGTCCATGGTGCCGAGCTCCGTGAAGAAATGGTCGAGGAGGCTTCGTTTTGCTTCTCGCACTTGGCAGTATACGATGGACTTTGGGATCGAGTTACGCAGACTTGCGCAGACCATGTTCACGTACGACAACACGTTCGATCCTGCCCGAAAAACCACAAAAACAAAAGAAAGTTCTTAAAGTTATTCCTGCATTGGTTCAGGTATGTACAAAGTTATATTCCAAACCTAGTCGGAATATGGAGATAATCGCTGATTCTTGATGATAAAAGAGTTTTACCAATGCGTCTGAGATAAGAATCGTTGTATCTGTCGAAAATAGAGTGGGTTGGGTTACCGCCCTTCTCTACATCCTGAGGAAGCTTCCGGAAGAAATCAACGGTGAGGTAACTTGTCTCCATGTCCACCAGCTGCAGCGTCGCTTTCCTACTCCCTTCTCTCATTCTGTCGAGTGACCCTATGGCCGCATTCGTTACCTCAACTCTAAGAGCCGGGTATTGCTTCAATTCCTGTGCATGTTTAATCAAGACAGACTCCAATCAATAAGATCCGAGCAAAACATAACTGAAAACCACACACAACCGCATAATCCATTCACCCCATTTCTAAAGTTTCGAATTTTAAGACAGCTTTTGGGCTGATGTGGTTAGGCATGCAAAGAAACGTACCACGGTTTCACTGACAGACTTGTGAACCAGATCCTTCAAAATCGAGTGAACCTATAATGAAAAAAAAACCAAACAAAGTATTACGAGAGATTCTCTTATTTTAAAATTTTACGGTTAGTTCTTTTTAACATGTTATATTATATAAATATACACACATATATATATATTTAAAAAAAGCATACAGCGTCAACAGATGCTTCGGCAGGGCCACGGATGGTGATGAGGGAGGACTCAATGAGACGGCGGTAACCTTGCTCTGGAGCAACCAAGTGAGGCTGGTAACCATCAGCCTCTGTTACAAGCTTCCGAATATTGTCCATTGAGAGTTGCTTGTCGAACTGGAGTCTCTTTAGTGCTGCCGGAAGGTGGTTATCAAACACACTGTACACCTTTTCTCCACCAGGCCGCCTATTTTATATGATAACAAATACACTTATTTTAAAAGAAGCTAAAACATTCAGGGATGTGGTCGTAGAAATGTGAAATGCTGGCATGTTAGAATATTTAATAAAAAGAGTTTTTGAAGAACATACACCCCATCAAGATGGTCCTTGAATATTTGATCAAAAAGCCGACAAATCTCCATGATAGAGTGCAACTTTCCCTGCACCAGGACAAGAAAAGCATTAATAATCCCCGCACTAAGGGTTCGACTGGTTGTACCGCAGCGGTTGCGGTTGCGGGTGGCAGCGTTTTCAAAACGTTTGATAGCGATTATAAATGATTAGTGCTGACTGGTTGAGAAGTTGCTGTTAGTAGCGATTGCGGGTGGGTGCAGTTAGAAGTGAATGATTCATTACGGTTGCGGTTGCGTTTTGATATAAATTGTCAAATATTATAAAATTATTAAAAATAATCATTATTAAACCTAAAAATTATACTATTGTATTTTTTTTATTAAAATATAATACTAAAAAATAATATCAAATCATAACACTAAACAAAATCATTACCAATATATATATTAATGTTTTATATAATTTCTAATAAAAATATTTTAGTTTTTTTGTCAAAACGTCGGAAACCGCTACCAAAACGCAAGTTGGAAGCTGCGATTAGAAAACACAAGTTTGGTTGCGGTTGCGGTTGGTTGCGGTTCAACCAGTCAGTTTTTCAATCGCCCGCAACCGCTCCGTTTGCGGGTGACGGCGGTGCAACCAGTCGGCCCCTAAAGACCTATAATAATGTACAGTAGCAAAATGCAAAGACACGATCTTACTCCTGCATCGGCTGCAATGGGCTTCCCCAGGCGACTCAATTCAGTTTCCAGCTCCAAGATTGTTTTTTGGATAAGTGACTGGATGCCTGGAATTCTTGACTTGATCACTTGTTCTAGATGCTGGCAATTAAAACATTAGCCATAAGGTGATGGTTTCAGTCATAAGTTGATGATTGGTTTCTCAACAAAACAATAGAGAACCCTGTTGCAAATTGCAGAGAGATCAGATTCTCCATCCTCCTCTTCCGCTTTCGCTGAGTCTAAGAAAAGGGAAAACTGCCGAATTCGGCGACAATATAGCTGCTTCCTGCTGCACTTGCATCCATTCTCTAGCTGTTTTGCCTTGCTTTACCTAACGAACTAAATATCATGGTGGTACTACCCTTGATAAATCCATGCCAGGACCTTATTATTCTTACGAAAACTGGTAGGAACTAGGAACAATATAGCTTACAGCAAAAATAGATACCTTGGAGAGCATTTTCGCCAAATGCTCGGAACCCATTCTGTGAGTCATGTGCCTATACTCCGGAGTATTGGAAAAATACTCCCGCTCTCTCCTCCGCGCAGCAATCATATCAACATTCTTGTTAATATCTGCTTGGGAACGATTGACAACACCAACCCACGGAAACTTGAGTTTGTAAGATTTCCCCTCCAGAATCTAGAAGCATAGAACATGCACTAAAGCTTAGAATAAACAGTCATGTGAAACATCCAGCAGATCACTTTATAAATAACTTTCCTGTGCTTCAGCCAGAACATCATAAAACAAACAAAGAAATTCATTCCGCATACACCAGCATTTTTGAGCTTGAAATAAATGCAGCAAACATCTTGATTATACTGTAATATAATTTTATAGAACAATTAGATAAGCTGACTTACATCCACTGCATCAGTCCCCTTGTCCATAAGATCTATCTTTGTCAAAACACCAAATGTTCTCTCCCCTGTGAAGTTCACAAAGAGTATTAAACACCTTAGGTGACAACATAGGGCATTGATTTCTTCCATGGCAAAACTTACCAGAGTGAAGAGACATATGATAATGAAATCTTAGCAAAATGCTTACCAGATGGATCAACCTCACGAGAAATTTTAATTGCATCTGATGTAGCAAGATCTTGATTGGCAGGTGAAATTGCCAAAATAATGCAATTGGGCTATAAAGAAAATTATATAAGCATAAAACACAACAATGTCAATTTCTTCATTCTGTAAACCTATGCAAAATAACAAAGAAAGAACAGAAATGTCTTGCCTAAGAAATAATCTATTGACAAAATTTGAAGAGAGAGTGGTGGAGAATAACTGAATAAGCAACCCCTTTTACCTTTTCAATGAAGGATCGGACCATGTTCTCAATGTCCTGCACGATACTGTCTGGTTGCCCCTCTGCATCAACAAAAAGTAGAATTGTGTCATACTAAATCAACTATAGTGAAGAATTTAGCCCTCATTTCCAAGTTGAGATGACATAGTAAACATCATGAGCTGACTAATTCTGCTAGCATCAGTACTGCTCTAAAGATAAACACTAAATTTCTTGCTACATTGGTCCAGCATAGGACAGATAATTAGTATGTGTAATTTACCTACAGCAACTTTTGTAAGCCCGGGAAGATCAATCAATGTCAAGTTGACAACTGCATTACACAATAAAGAGGATAGAGGATTACATAATGACATGTCAGAAAAAGAGCACAGACTGATGCAGAAGCAAGAGGAAAAAGACAAATAGAATTGAAACAGAATTCAAAGTTTATCCTAACCATTGGGAGAATATATGCTAAGGTGAATTGGAACGCTGGAAATCTGCTTGGTGCGGCCAGTCTCTCTGTCAGTCTCGTCCTGAATCTCCTTCCTCACAGCAGCTGTAGTGGAGATCAAAATAAACAAAATCAACAATATAAAGCAATATAGATGAAGTTGAAATTTAAAAGTAGAAATGAGACAGATATACTCACCAAAATCGGTGAACCTTTTCCTCGGAAGGTGAAGAAACTCTGCATACTCCCGGGTTCCATCACCGATCTTATGCAACTGCAAGACAAGGGGTCTTCTTGTAACAATACCTAAAAACAGTTCCCACAAAAGTAGTGTTCAGTACACAAGGTATACCGGTTAAAATTAGATCAATAACTGTTAAGCATGTAATTACCGGATCCACGAGGTAAAAAATCCTTTCCAACAACACTCTCCAGGACTGAAGACTTTCCTGAACTCTGTTACAAAACAGAGGCAATACCATGAGAAGATCTCCAACATAATAAACTCAAGGCCGTGCATTCAGTTGGTACTAAAGCAATAAATATTGGACAGAAACTACAAGTCGGGTTTTCATAACAATACATCTTCTGCATGTAAAACTAACACAACTCTGTGGAAATCCCTCAACACCCTAACCTCCACGATTATCAAAATGTGGGACTTCATCTCCATGACATAGATTGACTAGAAAGTACTGAAGTCAAAGTAAAATCAACCACAAGTCCAAATCCCATTTACAGCAATTACATTCCAAACTAGTCTACAAATACAAGCTCTTTAACTCCGCTTCTCCACGAACCAGGATTTTCACAGGCGACAAATTCAGGGGAATACCACAAGTTTAGACGAAGAAATTCTCAAATTCCCCTCAACAATCAATATCAACCCAGAATCGAAACAGGCGAACAAAGATCTCAGAATATGAAACAGATCTTCCATCAAATATATACAACAGGGTTAAACAGGAACTAGAATGATCGAAATGCAAACCTGTCCACCAACGACAGCGATCGCCGGCAAGGAGTCCCAGAGAGTCGGTAACGCACTGGACTCTCCATGATCACCGAGAGCCGTGCACGCTCTCTGTATCTTGTTCACCAGAGAGATCAGATTCTCCATCCTCCTCTTCCGCTTTCGCTGAGTCTAAGAAAAGGGAAAACTGCCGAATTCGGCGACAATATAGCTGCAGCAAGAAGAGATCCGCAAGATCTGACGGCCCCGCGGGTGAAGAGTCGCCGGCGAGAGAAAGGATCTGCGACGGCTACTTCGAACCCCACAGAGAAAGAAGACGAGTCCTTTGAAATTTGAGACTCGGAGAAGAAATGCGAGTGAAAGCCAAGGAAAGCGGTTTATATAATATAATAAGGCAATGAGGTTTTGGTAATTTTTCATTTTTTATTTTTTTCCTCGTCGCTCCAATTTTTTATCGTTGGTTTTTGAAATTAAACCGAGACGTGTGAGATGGCACGGCGTTTTGTAGGGAATTACCAAAACGGCAAGGCTTTCTACCGGGGGTTCCCCCACTAGGATGTATTATTGCAAATATTTTGGTTAAAAAAAATCAAACATAACTTTTAATCCCAAAAAGCAGAAAATCCAAATGAAGATACAAAGGGTGTTCAAATTGAATAGTAGAAATGAATAGAGATATACATTTTTAAAATTAGAAAATAATTGGGGGCATCCATAATAAGGAGTGATGGATTACATAAAACAGCCCTAAAACCCATGCAAAAGATCCAATTTGAATGTGAGCTACGCTTCCTGGTTTTTAAATTACCAAAGAACAAAACAATGTGTAAGTGGGTCCTCACCTTTCTACTGTTAATACAACAAAACTACCCCACCTCTTGATAGTGTATAAGAGACAGCTATATGACCTAACCTGTCCGAATGGAATAATTTACTGGCCGAGGTTTCTTACAAAGGTTACCAAAACAATAGAACATAGACAGAGAGAACCGTTTCAGCTTTGTGATGTGTCTGGTGGAGAGCCGTAGCCGTAAGGGTTCTTGCTCGCCCAGCTCCATTGGTCCCTACACATCTCCTCTATTCCGTACTTTGCCCTGCAAAATTTCACTTTTCTCTCTCAGGCCAAATCTACGCCATGCCCGAACTTGACGTTACTCGGCAAGACCACCCAGTAATGAGTGACACTCCTACTATAGATCAAAGGCCTACTAATATGTGGATGAAAAGGAATACTGAAAGCTTCTAAGGGTGACATGTGATGACACGTACTTCCACTTCAGCTCACGTTCGGCCTTTTCTGTTGAAGCGTAGACAATCTCCGCATCACCAGGTCTTCGTCCAGCCATCACAAGCGGGATTTTCTGAAAACACGTCATAATTTCTAATGTAACGACTGTCGAGGTTTTGAAAGATAAGAAGGACGGGTAAATAGCGTTTGTGTACAAGAATTGTGTATGCATAGAGGGAAAGAAAGCGTGAGGCAGGAGATCTTAATACCTTTCCAGAAGCTTTTTCAAAGGCAGCAACCATCTCTAAAACCGTTGTTCCTTTCCCAGTTCCCAGATTGTACACCTCACAGCCTAGTAGGAGATCAAGTCCCACAAATTGAAAAATAAAAACAAGCATTGTTACACAGTAGAAGCTAAACCAAATCCACATTATCATGGGAGATGAACTGTCTAGACGATGAGGTTCTTCAGGGCATACCAATTTTAGGATCATCTAGCTTTTGAAGCGCAGAGATATGACCATCTGCTAGATCAACAACGTGAATGTAGTCACGTACCTGAAATAGAACTACCACAAAGGTCAATAGGTGATTCATCAGAGAAGGAAGGAGAGCTAGAACGAACAGCAACATATCAATTCAGGGTAAGCCTTAAAACTGAGGGAGAGAAATGATTCTAGCATCGCCATTAAACAAGTATGCAATGGTCGTACGAAAAAGCCTCCATAAAAAATAACAGGTTGGTTTCTAGTGAATCAATGATAAACCACTAAGACAAATGATGGGGTTCCAATTTGATACAAACTATTTGTCCGAAGTTACACCAGCAATCTGAAAATCGAACATTAGTTGGAAAGTGTGCCTTGATTGGATATTTGGATTGGGTACACTAGTTGAGGTGAAAAAAAATGAACCCTTAGATAGCATGGTCATTAAAAAAAGAAGGAAGACAAAACGGCTCTGTGACGGTAATACTGGTATCTCTATAAAGAAGGTAAAACTGGAAACAGAAAAGTTCTATGCCAATAGGTGAAAGTCTTACCCCTGTACCATCTTTTGTATTGTAGTCAGTTCCATAAACTTGTAAATGTGGAAGCCTACCAACAGCAACTTGCTGGATATAAGGCATGAGATTATTTGGAATCCCACAAGGATCCTCGCCAATGTGACCGCTAGGGTGAGTGCCAACAGGATTAAAGTATCTTAGCAATATGATTCTCCATTCAGGATCAGCATGCTGGACGTCGCGGCAAATATCCTCAATGCAGAGCTGAAAATGTGGACAATACCAAAGATTTTCAACTTCATAGGCATGCATAATAAATACCAGGTAAATCTCCAAAAGAAGCTTTCGCATTAGCATCAAGATTACTAGATTACCTTTGTTCTTCCGTAAGGATTCACTGCTGATAAGGGGAACTCTTCAGTACACGGGACCACCTTTGGCCAGCCATATACAGTAGCCGATGACGAAAATACAAGCTGAACCGATTGATGACAGAAACTCAGTCGATGTTCTCTCTATATATATATATATTCCACATCACAAGAGCAAAAAAGAGATACATTTTTACACCCGTGTGCAGCCATTACTTCCAATAGTGTAATTGTGCCAAAGAGGTTGTTGTTGTAATAGAGCAGCGGTTTCTCCACGCTTTCACCGACTGCTTTCAATCCAGCAAAATGTATCACTGCATCAAACCTACACAGCATACAGGAAAGAATAAGGTTGAATCACATTGCTCCAGATCAGATCAGATCTTTAACATCTTCACATTCCTACAAAATCCAATCAATAATCCCAACTACCATTCTCTTTTTCCTGAACTCTTCCTTCTAAATGCTACTCTCCCACGTATCCTATCAGAATTACCAAATTAAACTGAAAGCTCATGAGGTTCAGGGGTGGTATTGATCATATGATATGAACATTTGATTGCAGGCCGTAGTTCAGATTCCACTGCGAAAAGCTAATTCCACTCAGAAGAGAAGTCAAAAAAGGCAAAGTGAACTCACTTCGTCCTGGAGAAGAGTCTCTCAAGCGCGGGTTTATCGCGAAGGTCGATCTGCAGGTAAGAGAGATGCATCAGCCATGTCATTGCCGAATTTTCCATATTACAAATAACCGACAGAGAACTCGATCTAGCAGCAATCGACCGACACTAGAAGAAATCACGCAGTTTAGTCAAATCCAACCCCAAGAACCTTCATCGCATTCCGAGTAAGGTAACAACACGGAATCCAGAGACGAGAGAGATCCCGATTCCAGCCTCGATCAGCGAAATTCACGGAAAACCAGGAACGTCAGAAACTAAACAGAGAAAAAAAGGGAAAACAGACCTGGTGGAAGGTGAGAAATCTGCCATGATCGCCAGCGAGCTCCTTGACGCGGCGGATCGCGACGGGAGAGGAATTGTCGAGGTTGTCGACGACAGCGGTGGCGTAGCCGCCGAGAAGGAGCTGAAGAACAGTGTGACTGCCGATGTAACCGGCACCACCGGTCACTAGAATATTCTTCTCCATCAACCGAGAATCAGTGCTCCGGCAGCCAACGGAGAGAGAGAGAGAGAGAGAGGGAACAACAAAAGAAGCTTCTCTCTCTGTAAGATTTTGAGGATGGTGGGAAGGGAATAAAAAGAGAGAGGACAAGTGTCTTCAACTTTTCACAAGAGGAAAGTCCTCTCTTTTGAGTTTCTTTAAGACGGGTTCAATTTTTTTTAATTCCTTTTTCATGTATAGCTTTTTGAAGCATACAAGAATCTGATATGAAACCATTCGTAATATTGGCGGTGACAGATTCGTAATTCATATTTACATCTTTTTATATCGCAAAGGAAAAAAAAAACTGGTGTGACATAAAATACATTTTTAACAAATAACTAGTAATATATTATTTATTTATTTTTTTATAGGAATTGCGGTAGTCTACTAAAACCAGCTTTGAAAGAAAGCTCCAGAGAGAGATTGACCTGCACCAGATGGTCAATAAAAAAACGACCAAGGACCAATAAAAAAGTTGTAGCACAGAGATAGCCATTTTCCCTAAAAGATTCTCTGTATGTATATAGATTAATCATATAAAGCAAACTCTCCAGAACATTATTCTAAAGACTCGTATAGTGCCCAGAAAATCTATTGTCCTAAATATGAAATAACTTCCCAACCCGTAATAAACTAATACGTACACTTCAAATCTATACCCAAAAACAAAAACGAAATTCTATAAACATCGGATGTATTGGAATGCCG